ATGTAATAGTTAACAGTCAAAACTGATAATGAATTATCCACTATGTATGTAATAGTTAACAGTCAAAACTGATAATGAATTATCCACTATGTATGTAATAGTTAACAGTCAAAACTGATAATGAATTATTACTTTCCGATATTTAACAAAATTTTCTTCTTTAAAGGATGATATGATAAATAAGCATAATGAAACGTTCGATTCATTATCCAATCCGACAGACAATTGGGAGCACCGTTCTAGCGCATCATTAATTAGCAATAAACGAAAAGAATTTAATTTCAACAAAAAAGGTATCAGTCGACCTCGATCTAGCAGTCCACAGAAAACACCGCGAACATCACCTGATGAAGTTTCGAAGAAAAGTCGTTCAAAGTAAAATTGATTTCCTTTTGTTTTGTTGCATTCTAAACAAATGCATGGCTAAAATGTTCAGATGACATTTTTTTGAGACGAGCAAATGTCATTAAGATAAACAATGCTCAGACAGAATACATCACTATGATCTTATGCATAATTCATTGTTTTTAATTGTAATTTTCTATCAAATGAGTGAATATTTTTCAACTATTCGCAAATTAATTGTAAAATTTATTGAAAATTTAATTTATGGTGAGTCGAAATATAGCAAACTTTTGCAGATCACCAACCAAAAGGTTTCCACAAATCTCAGAAACGTTGAATTATTTAACGTCACGTTGTCAATTAGGTGGTTGTTCGGCTACAATTATTGTTCAAGTACTTTTTTTAAATCATTTGTTATCAATTATCGTTTTTAACATTTTTCTTGGAACTTTTTTTGATTAATTTATAATAAATTTAATTTAATTTGTTATTAAGAAAAGTTTCTTAAATTAAAGTTATTTGAATTTTTTTGTACTCTTAAAAAGGATATTTGTAAACTTTTTTCTTCCTTTCAAATCAAAGTGTTCAAAATTGTAATTGCAGGATACAAAATTTCTGGTTTGCAAACACCAACTTTCACACGTGAGCGATTATTTCCGAGCGCTGTTTTCGGCGAATAAGCCAGCAGCCGTATCAGCAGCAGGAGCAGGTGGTGCATGCAGCAATTCGTGCGATGAATTTGCAGTCGTTGTTTCCTCATTTAAGCATCCTCCACCGGCTGTGCAATTTAAATGGTTTCTGGAAAGTGCAATTCAGACTGCTGCTTTCACCGATATCACAGGTGCACCACACACAAATATGGCTAAGATTGCATTTTGCATTTTGAGATAAATATGCAAAAGTGAGAAATGCACTCAGATTGTGCGGCATGTCATTAAGAATTAAACTTTAAGAACAAAATGCTATTCAGAAGTTAAAATATTTTAGCTTAGCATTTTCACAATAAAACACTTTTTGTAGGCTCTGCATGGAACTTTCAAAAATACAACTGCATTTCATCTGTCTATTTTCGAATAAATCGTTGCAGATGACACGTTGGAAACATGTATGAGGTTGTCAAAGCGATTTCGTGCTAAATATTTGGAAATGAAATGTGCCAAATATATTCAGGATAACGTGAGCATATTCATATATTCAGGATAACGTGAGCATATTCATATATTCAGGATAACGTGAGCATATTCATATATTCAGGATAACGTGAGCATATTCATATATTCAGGATAACGTGAGCATATTCATATATTCAGGATAACGTGAGCATATTCATATATTCAGGATAACGTGAGCATATTCATATATTCAGGATAACGTGAGCATATTCATATATTCAGGATAACGTGAGCATATTCATATATTCAGGATAACGTGAGCATATTCATATATTCAGGATAACGTGAGCATATTCATATATTCAGGATAACGTGAGCATATTCATATATTCAGGATAACGTGAGCACATTCATTAGTTGGTGGTTCTTAGCTAAATGTAATTAAAGCCAAATGTGAATTAACAGAGGATAGCTAGCATTCACTGGACCTAGTGGAAGCATTCTTCAATTTCAATTCAGCACTTCGACACTAAGTCAAGTTTAACTCAATTTCTCATCTCAAACTACAGTTGAGAGTGCTATTCAAAGAAAGAAAGGCATCGCACCACTTTCATTCAAGAATTTCAGGTAAGCAAACGAACACCAATGGTAGCATTGTGCTGGTTGAACTGGGTGCTGAAGCATAAATTCGATCGAATCACGCATGACGCTTGTCTTCCATGCGTTGCTGCAGCTTCGGTACAGTGTCTCGAGGAGCACCGAAATTTAATTTCTGAGCGATTGCTAGCTGATTTACTGGCCGCTAAGTTGAGGACACTTTACGACCAGGTTGCTACCAGCAAATTGTACTAAATAAGCTGCCAAGCAGTTAATTTCTTGTGTTGTAGGCGGTAACTGTCTTCCAAACAATTCATAGCATGGATCATTTCTATGTGGATGTCGCTAAGTGTCCGACGTGTGGACGTCAACGTGAGCAAGGGAAAGTTCGCATACAAGCCAGTCCTTGCAGGTATATTTACCAAAGTGGCTCACTTTTCATTTTTCTTAAAAACTCTAGTTCTACAGCAGTTAAACGAAAAATGCTTAAAATTTGCTTTATATTTAAAAATTAAATCTGAAATTCCTTAAAGCTTCTTTTTTTGGATAAGTTTTCCTTTCGTTTTCAGGAAGATACTTGGTTGTGAGCGATGTTTACGAGAGTTTGGTTGCAATTTGAGCGGCAAAGATCACAAAGAGCTTCAAGCGTGCTATCAGTGTGAGCACGGCTTGACAGCATTAAATGACCACACGGACGATTGTCAATGTCAAATTCCCTTGTTAGCCTCACATTTGAGTGGCTTACAGTCTCATTTCTTGCCAGTCGCCAATCCTCCTTGATACCTTCCTCCTTCTTTCCTTTTTCAAATTTCGTATGTAGAAGTTGTAACTTTAAAAAAAGTCGAAAATTTGTTTTTGATATTTTAGAAAAATGCTCCAGTCTTTTCAATCTTCTATTTTTTTTTAACATAAGAGCCCGTAAAATTAATAACTCTGTTATTACATGGAATTTTAATGGCTACCGATGCTTAGTACGGCATTCAATATCTGGGTGATTTTGTCAAACTTGAGAAATACTTCTTTTCAAGAAGGTATTATTTGGGCATTGTTTATTTGAGCCTCTCTTTAAAAATGCAAAAATTCATCTTTAAAGATGAATTTTGTGATGCAGATTTCCTTAAAATATTATTTCATGATTAAACGAAACCTCTCGACTGTTAATTTATTGCAAATGAAAAATAAGTATATTATAACTGATCTATTTGTATATGATGAATGAAAAAATTCAGCACTGGATTCAATTTTCCATTCATATTTCATTCGCTATACATATGTGAGTTAGATGTCCACTTTAAATCCACTACACGACGACACGAACGATCACTGGCACTGAAGTAATTCATCACATGTTAGCTACATGAATATTAATCATGTCAAATTAGAAACAACTTATCACTATTTAAGACCGATTTAAATTGATCATTTGCTAAAATCATAATGATTTGCTAATCACTTCAATTCGCCCACCTGCGTCATGAAATGGATATCTTTCGCAAGTACCAAAAGTTAGTAACTTTATGATGTGACACAGTGATGACACATTACGTCTCCTGAATGATACCTCGACAATTTGAATCAAATCAAATAGTGAAACATTTTTAAATGACTTGACAGTATTTCTCTCACCGCAAGATGTTTAAAAAGTTATTTCATCCGTTATGATTTCTGAATCATCGTTCCTTTTTTACCAAATGAAAATGGTCCATTTTTAAGCTCGCGAGAATAAACCAGATGATATGAACCTCTTCTAAATTGCTTATCGTTTGAAATACTGTAGTAATAAATTCTTTAAAGGAAAAAGTCAAAAGTTAAAAAGAAAAACCTCAACGACAATTTAGAAAATGCAAGAATTATTAAGAAATTAGAAAAACAGAAAAAAAAAAATAATAAGAAATATGAAAGCTTTCACATGACAAATTGCTTCGAACGAATTTCTAATAATTCAAAAAGCAAAATCTCGGCCACGAATACATATGGTGTGCATCCTGCAGACCCTGATATAGTGGTACACTGCATACAACGAAAAAAGTATTTCACCGCTATATTTTATATGTAAATTTTTTATATATTGCACCAAAATGCATTGGGTAAATTTCTAAAATTTGTGTAGGAAACATCAATAATATCAGGAAGCGAATGAGAAGCATCCTTCTTTTCGTCAAAGAAAAACAATTCCTCCACCAAGTCGCCTTTTTTCGTTGATCGATTTTCAAATAATCACTTTCTGCAGTTAAAATCAACCAAAAAAAGCATCCACTTCCCATTTTTTTTTTTTTATTTATAACAATAGAAAATAATTGGGAGAAGAAAAGTCAAATATCTGGATTAAATTCAATATCAGCCTTCAACTTATATTTTGTCTATAACTTCCTTTCAAAATAGATCAATGTTGTAGAAATTTAATCTTCTACATTACTGGACTCTGTTGCGAGAATATTTGTAGACGTTAAAAAAAATGCTTGAAAACAACAGCAATGTTAGTTCGAATAATACTAAATATACATTCTATTTCTTTTTTTTTAAATCATTAAAAAAAAAAAAACATCAATGTACAGTGAAAATAAGTACTCGGATTTATGAATGCATAATAAGTGTCAGCATTACCACATAATTTTATAAAAGATGCTCCTTTTATTTAAAAGGAACTATTTGAAAATAAAAATTCTTCTAATACAAAACTGGAATTAAAAACCTTGATAATAACTTTACTTTACTCTCACAATACATTAAAGGTGTGACACCACATAGCTCGCAGCTGACTAACTTTTTCTTTTAAACTACGATTGTTTTATAAGCAGCCATTCTCTTTTGAACTAAACCGTCTTTGGAAATACTTCGATATTTAAAATGAATCAATAGTTTAGGATACTAAGTAGTAATAAATATGTGTATCTCATGAACAAATAACAGCAGAAAGCGAGTATTCATCATTTATTTTGTCATCCGTCATCTCGATCCCTCTGATCGCTTCTCGAATATTCGCAAAAACTTTCCCTTTGAAAATTGCTTAGCTAAAATTTTTATTTATGAAAATTTCAAACTTTTCAAAGTTATCCAAAGCAAGAAATTCTTACCCCTAGACAGAACTACATCAGAAGGATGGTTATGTAACAACACAAAACTTGGGTATTAAATTAATTAATGAAATCAGAAAAAAAAAACCTTCTTCAATCCCTAATGTATAGGCGGAATTCTGCAAATTTCTTATATATTCCATTAACTGATCGGCACTAAACTGTCCGAGCTCTAAAAGAACAATATGAAAACAAAAGCAACATTTTAAATTGCGCGTAAATTTTAAAATTTGCAAATGGATCCTCGAAAAAACCAAATTTTTGATGTTTAAGTTAAACTGTATTTCCAATGTCATTTTGAATAAATATTTTTGTGGTATGATTACCGTTAACAAGGCGTACATCTTGTGTATCTAATTCAGTCCGAAAACGACTTGGCTTAAAATCACCAGCAGCTACCTAAAAAGAGTATCCAAAAGCACTCCAATATATTGTATGCTTATAAGTGGCAAATGAATGCATAAGACGCAATCACTTTAAATAAAGTTAATAATCAATTTATAATAACCTAGAAATAATTTGCAAATATGATGGTAAAAGTACTAGAGATTACATGAAAGACATTAATTACAATCAACATTCTTCTCCAACATATTGTATTAAGGAAGGTACATAGTGAATGAAAATTTGTAAATGATTGTTTGCAAGGATGAAAGTTTGTAAAAAAAAATGAAAATGAGAAGAGTTACTTAACTAGATAACATGAAACATTTAAGTCACTAACAAAGTTCATTCTTAGTGGGGGAGGGGGAGGGGGGCACTTCATGTCAACATCAACTACATAAATATTTTTGAACTATCCAGAAATGCCAACTTTCTAACTGATAAAACACAACCACAAATCTTACAGTTAACGTTCTATTCATATCCCAAGCACCGGGCACATTCTCCGGAAAAAGTTCAGGCGATTTCCGATGGGCGATATTCTCATTGCAGACAAGATTTGTGTTTTTCGGTTTCTCAGCTGTTTGATTATTGTCCATTTGCTGAAATAAAAAAGAAACTGATACTATCTTAAGTGATGTGAGCAAATTGGCAAGTGTTAAGCAACGAACCAAAATATCTTTAAAATATTTCGAATATGCAAGCAACTACTGCTTGGAGGTATTATCTGCAAGAACAACAAATCTCTTCCATTTCTAATTTCGGGTGTTTTTTTTTTTTGTTATTGAAATAGAAATTAAACAAAGAAATTTTGAGACGAAAATGCAACCAAATACCATTCTGACAATAAATAACAACGTATTAAACCTGAAGCTATTAAATCATAACCAACAATAATACGTAAACTCCACGTGTAGCATCCAACCGCTCTTAGCGCCAAATTCATTCCAAACAAATCACGTTAAGTGCGGCCCGGTCTTTTACGGCTCGGCCCTAAATTTCAAATTGAAAATTAAGTGAGGGCTCTGTGCGTGAGTCCGTGATAGGTGGATGTTGGGTGTGAGACAGTGAAGAGACATTTGTCGTCGAGAAGTTAGGCGACCAACTTCAGAGTCACACAGAGTGCAGAGGAGACACGGACTAAGGTGTGAAAGTTGATAAAGAAAAATGAGCGTGGTTAGAATGACGGAGTGCGTGTCGCCTAGACGGAATGCGTGTCGCCCAGACGGAATGCGTGTCGCCCAGACGGAGAATAACCTGTTATGAGAGTGCTTGTGAATAGAAGATGGGGAGAGGTAATGGTTCTTCAACACTTGACGTGTTTTCAGTTTTGCTTTCAAGTCAGGTGAGACGTGTGTGACACTTTCGATCTTCGCAGTATACTAAGAAAAAATTGCAAAGTGCATTTGTAATCAGGAATTTCTAATCAGGAATTTAATTTCTAACTACTGTCTACTTCCGTCAAATCAGAGCATATTAATATAGGAATAGGAGGAAAGAGCTATAAACTTGTAAAGTTGGTTACTTCTGTAAAATGTAAAAATTGTAAATTTAAAGAGTGTAAATTTGTAAAAAAGAACTTTGCAGTTTTCTTCTCCTTGTCAAGGATCCTAAACATAAATTGAATGCATAAATGGCATCTGCTTTTTATGATTTTGAATTTAAGTGAAATAACAGCGTTTTTTAGATGGCAAACTTTTCTGGGAAGTTTTTCTAAGAAGGCAAAAAAAAAAAGATCGTTGTGGGAAATCTTCTTTTCGCTTTTTATTCACTCACAAATTCTTCGCCACTAATTCCCCTTTCGCATGTCTCATTCCACTCTCCGTCATTTCTCAAATCAGATCAGATCACTCCTATTTGGGTTGCACTGAACCAAAATTGCAAAAGAGCTTTTTCCAGGCAAATCTCTCACAAACTAATGTAAATACAACATTTTACACTGTGAAATGGAATATGCTAGTACTGTTTCACATTATAGCACTTCCAATACAATCCATTCATTAAACCATTAATTGCTCTTCCAAATTTCAATTTTAAAAAACAATGAAATTCGGTCAGAACATAAATTACACATTATTAGCAGTTTCACTAATTTTATATCCTAAATTGATTATAACATGTATAGCCATCTACTGTCTCAAATTTTTTAATATAAAAAGTGCCATTAAAGACTTAAATATGAAATATCTTAAGCTACTCGTCAAGACAATCTCATATTCAACACAGCGCATATTCTCTTCCCTTATTGATAATGAAATTCCACTTGTTGATAAGAGCACAAATTCGTTGTTTAAGATTATTCCTCGCACCAATCGTTAAGCTTATTTCATCTAATCCACAGCAGTTTGAACTATATTGTCTTAATCGGTTCACATTATTTCCTAAGTGGTAATTTGCACATGAGAAACCTAAATTTTAAATTCATAAACAATCCGAAATGTGTATGATTAGCTCTTCTACAGTATTTCCTGTCAGATTTACAAATTTTTTGGATTGAAAACATCAATGCTTTGCAGATATATTTTTAATTTATTAGCACTTGTTTACATCTATTTATGTTAAAAAAAAAATAAATCTTGCGAACTATTCGTTATCACTGCATCAAAATTGATTAAAGAAATAAGTTTGCTTTTTTCCAAATAATTTTTTCAATTTCAAATTTTCATAAGTTCTCGCTAAATTTCTTTTAATCAATCAATTTATTTTCCATCTGTTATGCATGGGAAAAATCTGAGTAAAACTAGAAAATTATTTGCTTGATTTCTTTGTCTCTCTAATGTGCGCTAATGTGACAATTAAATCGAAATATTATATCGACATTATCACTGTTAAGAATACTTTTAAAAAAAGTTCAATTTAGATTTACAGGTTTAGCAGTAACTTATTAAAATAAAATTTGAAACAAATGTGTGTTTTTCTATCATTCGGTATTTTCAACATTCTAATTGCAATTCCTGCTCTTTTCCAGTGATTCTTTCCCCCTAAATAATCATTTCAAATTTCAAATTTTAATAAACATTGCTAATTATTCGCGATCAGATTGTATTGAGCATAAATCTGACTGAAATTAGCCAATATTACTTCTTTGGCATATTTTGCTTCTCCTTCCAATCAGTCTTCCTCTATCTCTAGTCTCGATGATTTCTTCCCCTATCCCCAGTCTCGATGATTTCTTTCCCTATCCCTAGTCTCGATGATTTCTTCCCCTATCTCTAGTCTCGATGATTTCTTCCTCTTTCTCTTGCCTCGATGATTTCTTCCCCTATCTCTAGTCTCGATGATTTCTTCCTCTTTCTCTTGCCTCGATGATTTCTTCCCCTATCTCTAGTCTCGATGATTTCTTCACCTATCTCCAGTCTCGATGATTTCTTTTTTAAAAATTTCTCCCACACTACACTGTCTTTACTTATTGTTACTGCATTTCTGTACAAGTTTAACCCAGCGTTTCAGATGTATGCTAATTTCTTTCAAAATATTAATCATTCTGAAATGTTTGGTTGATTATTATATTACATTCTTTCTTTATTACTTTGATAATATATTAAGCAGATGGATGGAAATTTATACCATTTAATAAGGTAATTTTGATTTGATTTATACTATGTAAACCTGAATAAAAGGAAGAAATTTCCAGAGAAAAACATGCAAGAAAGCTTAAGTTAATTTGTTTCATCCATAGAAGTATATGAAATGATAGAAAAATTAACTGACATCCTTGAAATCAATTAAAACTTTCAATTTTTCAAAAATATTTTATTATGAAGCATAAAATGGGATACGTTCAGCTAATCATTTCTAATTGCTTATTCTGAAGTTAAGAATTGGAAAAATATTATAGTTTAAAGTGAATATAAATTGTGTCCATTTGGTTAGTTGAGCAAATGAAAAGATGGCAGTTGAAATGTTTATTTTGTTAATGAATTATTTTCAATCCTTGTGACTCTTTCCCTTTTGAAAAGACTTTTCTTTTCAAGAGATGACACATGTTTGGGTATAATTAGCAAACAATCAGTAATTAGTAGTAGAAATGCTAATGCCATTCTCTGGGAAAGAATGATCTCTCAAATTATCTCACTTTCAACTTATTATTTCTCCGTGATGGCACTAATTCTTTTGTCAGATGTCATGCAGATGGCTAACTATTGAAACCTTTGACTTTACTTTTTAATTATTCATTGTTCAACTATTATTAATTTTGAATTGAATTTTATTGAATGATTTGTTTTTTACATAAATTTAAAGAGGATGAAAAACTTTTTTGCTACTTTGTTTTGTTTAACATTTATATAAAGTTATCATAATTATCCTTGTTTATCTATTGGATTCAATAGTTTTTGTTTGTCAAAACTGAAATTTCTAAGCTAATGCATTTTAATTTTAACAAATGAAAATTCCGACTGAAGAAAAAAGATTAGCGATGATTTTATATAGATGTAACACGAATAGCAAAAAGATATTTTCAGTATTTCAGGGCATTTTTAAATTCTCGAAAACAAAAACCATATTTTAAATGTTAATTTCAACTTATTCTATTTTGATCAATATTCTTATTATTCCAGTCAAATTTTTATGCTATAATAAATTTTGTCATCGTTGTCATAGCATCATTGATTGATACTATGAAATTGGAAATGAGCAATACATCATATCATCTTACTCTTACTACTTACCTATTTTTTATTTCTAGAAAAAGAATCACACGTTTTCTTTAAATAAAAGTATTAATTTATTCTTTTTTCATTGCTGTGTGATCTGAGATCTGAGAATTTCACTTTTGAACGGAGAGGTGACTCCACCTCACGAGAACAACGATCACATAAATGTAGCAGAGAGACGATAAAATTAAAGGAGCATCATTAGACGGTTCCCACTGTCATTTCGAATTTGTGAATAATAAACAAAGATAAATGATTGCTTGATAGTTTGTATTTGCATATAATTTAAGTAAGCGTCTTGTTAAAGTAAAGGGAAGGGAAAAAATCAATTAAATTTATAGCTGTTAGAAGTAAATAAACTTGATTAAACCCTAAAAGAAAATGAGCCTAATATTCTAGTGTCACTAATTCGTCTCTTTATAGCATCTCCTTTCTTCACCTTTCTCTTTATCTTATCACTTTTTAGTTTCCTCAACTTCAAACTCAACTCCTCTACCTTAGCTTCTTTCTTTCTTTTTAATTATTATTTTCAACAATAAATTTTTGTCATTTCTTCTTCACCTCTAAAGAAAAAAAACTCTTCTTTGCTGTTGAAATTTTAAAAAAAATTCATTTGCAACATATCGCTGAGACACGCATTAATTTTAAAACTTGTCATCGTGGATATGTAATTGTCTCAGTGATAACTATTAATGGGTTATCAGATGGCTATCGGCATGTTATTATTATTAATTATGCTGTTGGAAATGACTGATAAAGTGACCATCTATCTGTTCGCATTTTCCAGATTATCGTTTTTTGTTTTTCTGCTGCTCGTTGTAAATTCACTTGGATGTTTTTTAAAAGGTTCTTATGCACTTCTCATTTAATTTTGCAATTTTCAAATGAACTGAAATTATCAATTGATAACTGCCAACAGGTATAATTCGATTGGTATATATTGTAGCAACAAATATGCCACTATCAGTGAATTACTTTTGTGTTTTCTGGAAAAACCGTTTCGTTTGACTGTATGAGGGATTTGATGTGAATAAAAATTAAGGAATGATTAACAGATCACAAATGGAACTTTGCTATATGCGACAAGGAAGGCAGAGCGAAACGGATGTGACTGACATAGTTGTGACAGCTCATTGTCTCATTTCATTTCCAGGCCCATTTGATGGATTTATCAAATGTAGCAGCAAAGGGTAGGCAAATAATATAAATTCTTAAAACAGTTGTCAGTCTCTGTTGGCGCCAAGAAAGCGGTCAATCCCTCTGATCAGTGACAGATGATTCTGTTGCGATC